CTATATTTTAGATGGGCTAACTAGAGGGAAACTATAATGTTTTTGGACAATTGTATTTTATAATTTGATATGTTTCTCAACTCATGATTCATAATTGATATATAAATATGTACATTACTCTTTGTATCAAATCTTTACAAATCAACATTTATTGCAGAGTGCACCCAACTGGACAGTGCAAAATGTGCATAGATACCAGTCACCTTCCAGGTTTGAGCCTGGGTTCACACTGAACAACTTCACTTGCAATCGCACGATTTCAAAGATGGATGTCAGTGCCACTTCAGGTGTGACTTGTAAAACAATCTGTGTGACTTCATGCAAGCATGTCTATGCAAGTTGCACTCAAAATCGCCAAAAGTAGCACAGGAACTACTTTTCAAATCGACTTAGTCGGATTTTCACCAATTAGAACAATCTCATTGCCGATCATTGGGTATGACTTGTCATGCGATTTGAACTGTCAAATTGCATGACAAGTCGCATCGGTGTGAATGGGGGCTTATTGTCAAAGCTTAATTGAACAAGCTGAAGTTAGAAGCTGATTGAATATCATGCAAAGCTGCACCAGATTCTGAATGCTCCAGTTTTAGTAAATCACCCCAAGCGTGGGTCCTGGATGGAGATTCCCCACTGGCACCCTGCAATTGCCATGTAGAAGTGACGGGAGAGACCTGTGTGTAAACAACGCAGGTCTCTCTCCTGCCAGCAAGGGCATGCTGCTTTGTATGTCTTTGCACAACAGAGAAATACAAAGCAGCATATCTCTGTAGTAAAACAGCACACATTTAACCCTTTGATTGCCCAAAAGGTAACCCCTTCCTGCCCATTAGTACAGTGTCAGTGCTTTTTATTAGCACTGGTCACTGTATTAGTGTTACTGGGAATGTCAATTCCCACCCAGTGTCAGAATGCCTGCCGCAGTCCTGTTGTAAGTCGCTGATCGCCGCCATTACTAGTATAATAAAAATTTAAATTCCAGTATATATACCGCCAATTAATGTACACGTATTAAAATAAATGAATGAAAAGTAAGCGCTCTAAAATCAGTGGCCAATGCACTCAAGGTAATCACAGCAAACCTCATAAGATAATAAATAAAAAAATAAATAAATAAAAGTGCAGCGCTGCACTTTTATTTATTTATTAATGTACACGTATTGGCATTTCTTAAAGCAAAGACATGTAGCAGAATACATTTTGGCCTAAATTCATGATGAAATTAGATTTTTTAAATCTTTTTACTGGATATGTTTTATAGCAAAAAGTAAAAAATATAGTTTTGTTTTCCAAAATTGTCAGTCTTTTTTGTTTATAGCGCAAAAAATAAAAAATGCAGAGATGATCAAATACCGCTGCAAGATATCTCTATTTGTGGGAAAGAAAAGGAGATAAATTTCATTTGTGTGCAGCGTTGCATGACTGTGCAATTGTCAGTTAAAGTAACACAGCGTTGTATCAAAAAAAATGGCCTGGTCAGGAAGGGGGATAAATCCTCTGGAGGGCAAGTGTTTAAACAGTATTTTCAAATCTGCCACCCACCCACATGCCCACACAATTTAACTGAAATCCAGGGGTGGGAGTGTGGATGAACACAGGGAATGGGAGGCAAAGCAAATACAGCCTATGCGCTCTTTATACAAGGACAAGCAATCTCACACTCCAAAGACACACTGGCAGGTTAATTGGATCCTGTCTAAATTGGCCCTAATATGTGTATGTATGAATGTGAGTTAGGGACCTTAGATTGTACACCCCTTGAGGGCAGGGGCTGGTGTGAATGTACAATATATATATATAAAGTACTGCCTGATCAGGAAGGGGGGCAAGTGGTCAAACAGTATAAATAAACAGTATAAATATGTAAATATTAACAATATCCATTACAGGTAATGGGTTTGGATTTACAATTAAGAAAATTGACAGATCATGACAAAATGTGTACATGAATAGAATTATAAAAGACATAAACGCAGTTTGGAATACAACAGAGAAAACACTTGTGCTGCACAAGTAGTATGCCTTAGCGAACTGTCAACATGGGCTGATTTTGCAAGTGGGAGTGACTTAAAGGGGGATTATTAAGCAGATCCCATGCCTATTCATTGTATGTACTGCATCCCTATGCCACAGTTCTTGTGCTTACAAAGCACTCTTAATTACTGTGCCACGAGTGACAGTTTCACAGACACACATAAACCTTATCACAAAAGATCATTATTAAAAAAAAATGAAACTCTTCCATTACATATGCTTCTGCACACAGAAAGCTATAGCCTACCTTAAAGAAGAACCACTTCTTTAACAGCAACTGAGACAATAAACACTTTGGTCAGAACTATGTAAAGTGCAACATAGTGTACATGGTGAAGGATTTACGTGTAGAAAACATACAACGTAACATATAGAGTCAGTAGTCAAGATGAGAGAGGGAAAGAGAGTGAGTAATAGGGAGAGGTGACAGTGAATATAGCACATCACATACTGAGAGAGACATAAGAAATTGTGGACTTATTTCCCATGGACTCAAGCCCCTACCTTCCCTTATAGTTTCCCTTTACCGGAAAGCATTCCTGGACTCTCTTTCTATTCCCTTTATGTTATCATATACCCCTAACAGTTTCCTAAATTCCACCTTCTCCATCCAACCCCAGTCAGCCGCAGGCTCTAATTTTCAAATCTGCCACCCACGTGCCCACACAATTTAACTGAAGTCCAAGGATGGGAGTGTGGATGAACACAGCGAATGAGAGGCTGAGCTGATACAGCCTATGCCTTCTTTATAAGGGCAAGCAATCTCACACTCCAAACACATGCTGGTAGGTTGATTGGCTCCTGTCTAAATTGACCTTAGTTTATTTATTTCAGGTACTTCTATAGCGCCGTCAATTTACGCAGTGCTTTACATACATATATTGTACATTCACATCAGTCCCTAACCCTCAAGGGGTGTACAATCTAAGGTTCCTAACTTACATTTATACATACCCATACTAGGGACAATTTAGACAGCAGCCAATTAACCTACTGGCATGTCTTGGGAGTATGGGAGGAAACCCACGCAGGCACAGGGAGAACATGCAAACTCCAGGCAGGTGGTGCTGTGGATGGCATTTGAATCAATGACCCTAGTACTGCCAGGCGGAAGTGCTAACCATTTAGCCACTGCCCTGCCCATTTTCCTAGTATGTGTATGTATGAATGTAAGTTAGGGACCTTAGATTGTAAGCTCCGTGAGGGCAAGGACTGTTGTGAATGTATAATATATGTAAAGTACTGCATAAAGAGATGGTGTTATATAAGTACTTGTAATAAATAAATGAATATCCTGGAGATTTCAGGGGACCGAAAGTTGGTCATACCCCATTTTCAAAAAACTGGTGATAGAAGATATAAAACTTGCGCAATGTTCCTGCCCCCTGACAACACTCAACCCACTTTAGCCAAAGCCTCAGTGTTTGGACTACTGTGAACTGGGCCTAAGGTATAGGATTTCTTTAATTGGAATTGTATCTTCTGTCCATCTAATAAAATACAGCCATATTTTTGCCTTTTGTCCCCATTCCAATTGTTCACCCCCGAGGGAACTAGTATAACCACACCCTGACATATGTGATGGCTGTGTAAACCTGTTTATACAGATTAGTGATCTGCATCAAATTTTGCTGGCTGTTAAATAGTGGAAAAATAACACAATTGAAAACATATTGCTGTAGTCTGCCATCATATTTCCCAAAATGAGAAGAAAGACATAAGCCAGACATATTGCTCAGTTCCCAAGTTGGTGTTAACATAAAATTACAAAAACTTGGAAAAACAAGCTTAGCATGTGTGGTCCTTTTCATCTCTCCTTGTGGGTCAGCCAGGGAGTTAACAATGGATCAACAGGTGACAAAAGCAAGGACAGAAGACATGACTGAAAGCAGCTCTGCTTCTCACTAGTGCAGACAATCATTTAAAGGAATGTTGCAGCAATTAGCCCTTATCATTATTGTACATATGTTTGTAGAGTTGCAAGAGATTCCTTTTTCCAGTTCGATATATTAAAATCACTAGTTCATTGATCCTCAGTTTATTGTAGTCTAACGTAGCTTTCAAGGCATTTTTTAACTTATTCTCAATAGCCATTGTGATCAGATAAATTAAAAAAGCAAGAAGAATATTCCTGTTATACTATGATATGTTTTCTGTAAAAACAGCTTTGATAAGTTTTCATTTGCTAGTATTTGTTTTTTCAAGCAGGTGCTTTCCAGACTTCCATGTAAATTAATTTACCCTTGAAAAACAGTAACATAAATATTACGTAAAATATATATAAAGCTAGGGTTCTTTCACATGGATATTCCGTATGTCCGTTTTTCATCTGTCTGTTTACGGATGAAAAACAGACACCCATGTATTTCTATGGACTAGCAGATGTAAAAGGATGAGCATCCGTTTACATCTGTTAATGTCGGCATCCAGTAACCTCCCTAGCGGTCTGATTATATCTGTATTTTTTGTGTGCTCAAAGCGGTATATTTTTTTGCATGGAAATATGTTTTTTTTTTATTGTAGGCCTGTAATTTTTAGGAATAACTCACTGAAATCTGTTCGAACAAGAGTCTAGTAAACATCCCGGGTATGTTAAAATTTGAAACACGATATCATAAAATATAATGTAATAAATAATCATAAAAAATAATAATATAATAATAATACATTTAATTCAATAATATAATCAAACCAAAAACACTGAAATTTGAAATAGAGCGCCAAGTTCGCACATCACTAAGCAAAGTCACAAAATCGTTTTCAGTGACTGATGACGAATTTCCCCACGAATCATTATCACTCAATTCTGCAAGTGATTCTAATTTACTATCGCTGTTCCCTAGCTGCTCTAAAACCGACTTTGACCTAAAGGGACGCTTTTTGGACACCATGGACTTTTCCCAGTTTCCAGGCAGAAAGAACAGTCAAAATGCAGGCAGGGCACAGGACAAAGCAGTAGGGACAAAATGTATGTGAAATGCTTTGAAACAGTAATGCTATACTATGTGATTTTAGTGTATTTAGTGAATGTCACTTTTTCACATTTTTAAATTTCCTGCCGTTCCGTTCCCCGTACATCCTGACGCTCGCAGGGGACGGAACCCAGAAGACAGATTCCAGCATCCGCCAGAGGACATTGCCGGGGACACTGCAGGAGGGACATCGCGGGAGTGCAGGACAAGGTAAGTAAAGAAGAGATCCCAGAGCACCGCTGCAAGGTATTCCCGAGTGTAGCTCGGGGTTACCGCTTGTGGTGCTGAAACTTTACCTCGAGCTACACTCGGGAATACCTCCAGGGAGGTTAACATCTGTTTTTTTGAATGGAAGAAAACCCTATTTTTCTTCTGTAAATAAAAAACGGATGTAAACAGATGAAAAACGGATGTAAACAGATGCAAACAGATATACGGTCCATACGGTTTGCATTGGTAAAGGATGTAAAAAAATGGATGTAAACTGATGAAAAATGGATGTAAACTGATTAATAATTGATGTGAACTGATCTGTTTTTTTCTGGGAAAAAACATGACTGAACTGATGAAAAAAACGGATTGCCCGTGTGAAAGGACCCTTAAGGTCTGATTTACCAAATTGTGGGCTGAAGTGAAATTAACATGTTCATCAGTATGTGAAATTTGTACAATCATTGTTATAAGGTGTTTGTAAAGCTTTAAGCAGCTTTGTTGAAGCCCTAAACCAAACTTCAGTTTCATTATAGTGATGTCCAACATAGATCTCAGTGTCAGTTCTGGCTATCACTTTAAAGACATTCTGTTTCTGGGTAAAATACGAAGTCAGACATCACCTGTAAAACAGTGACCTAATACTCACCTGTCCTACAACCCATTCCTCTGATCTTCCCTCTATTCAAGATCCATAGCTGCATCAAGAATGAATGCCTGCATCTTCTGCTACATCCCATGTTTCCTTCCACTGAAACCTATGACGGTTTCTTTGTTCTATAAGGCTCCATGCACACTAGCATTTTTTTTTAGCTCAAAAAATGCTGGAAAAATGCTGGATAAAAAACACTGGTAGTAGCGTTTCTTAGTAGCATTTTAGTAGGTTTCAGAAGCGTTTTGGAGCATTAGCGTTTTTACCATACATGTAAAGAAAACAAAGTGCTAGAATATGCTGTTAGGAGTGTTTTAGTCGCGTTTAAGAGCATTTAGCTTTTTCTGCTGGAAAAGTGCTCAACAAAAAAATTTTAAAAACTATTTTTTTTCTACTCCTAGACTGTGAAAGCTCAGAAAATGCTAATAGCCTAGAGCAGTGTTTCTCTCAACCTTTTTTCAGTCAAGGCACCCTTTAAAATTATGGACAGTCTTGAGGCACCCCTAGACTGTCCATAATGAGGCACCCCATTCTAAAACTATTCTAATAGCTTTATATAGCGCAGCAACATCCACACATGTAGGACACCCAACATTAGAGGTGATTTATTCTTCCAAAGCAAATACACTTTTGCACACTGGTACTGACTAGTATTCCAGTGTTTCTCTTCTCCCTCTGTTTTCTCCATCACTGAGCTAATGTGACCCCAGCACTAATGGAAAGGGGCAGGGAAGGGTCAAACTAGGATGTGTACAGGCAGTTGACATCCTCCTTATCAACTGATGATGTCATTAGTTGTCAGGACGCCGGCGACTAGAAGGTCGTAATGGAGCACAATGAAAACCTGTGGCTTTGTGTAACTAGAAGTCAGGCTTGTTCCACCCGCTGGCATGTATACAAGTTTTGGCCAATTTTTAGACATTTTGCCAAGGCACCCCTGAAGAAGCTGCAAGGCACCCCAGGGTGCCTGGGCACTCTGGTTGAGAAAGGCTGGCCTCGAGTAGTGTGCATGGACACATAGGATAACATTATTTAGCTTCTAGGAGCAGAAAAACAAATGCTAATAACTGCTTCTAGGAGCTTAAAAAACCGCTAGTATGCATAGAGCCTAATGATGACACAGGAGGAACCACAGCATGCAACAAAGCGTCAGGCATCTAGTACAACCAGTAGTGTGTTCCAAGGTGTAGATGTGGTTTTTCAACTTATTATTATTATTATTATTATTATACAGTATTTATAAAGCGCCAATAGTTCGCTCAGCGCTGTACATTACAAAGGGGGACAGAACATGTGACAGAACAATACCAATACAATGCAAAACATGAGGGGATCAAGGGCCCTGCTCTTTCGAGCTTACAATCTAGGAGGGAGGGGGTGGCAGCACAGGAGGAGATAGCTGTGGGGGATGGAGTGGTAGGAAGAGTGGAGGAGGTCGGCAAGTTAGCAGGGGGTGGGGTAGGCTTCCCTGAAGAGATGGGTTTTCAGGGTGCGCCTAAAGGAGAGGAGAGTAGGTGATAATCTGATGGGTTGGGGCAGGGAGTTCCAGAGGATGGGTGACACCCTGGAGAAGTCCTGGAGGCGGGCATGGGAGGAGGAGACCAGGGAACTAGAGAGAAGGAGGTCTTGTGAGGAGCGGAGTGTGCGTGCTGGGCGGTACTTGGATATTAGGTCAGAGATGTAGTACGGGGCAGTATGGTGGACAGCTTTGTACGTCAGCGTTAGGATTTTGAATTTGATCCGTTGCGCAATCGGAAGCCAGTGGAGGGATTGGCAGAGGGGGGTGGCAGAGACAGAGCGGTTGGAAAGGTGAATGAGTCTGGCAGCCATATTCAGGATCGACTGAAGCGGGGATAGCCAGCGGCGAGGCAGGCCAGTGAGGAGGGAGTTGCAGTAGTCGAGTCGTGATATGATGAGGGAGTGGATGAGCTGTTTAGTGGTTTCTGGGGTTAGGAACGTGCGGATTTTGGCGATGTTGCGGAGGTGGAGTCTGCACGAGTTTGTTAAAGATTGGACTTGGGGCTGGAAGGATAGGTTGGAGTCCAGAATGACACCCAGTACTCTGGCCTGCAGGGCGGGTTTGATGGTGGAGTTGTTGGATGTGATGGAGAAATCAATGGGGGGTGGTGTCCGGGCTGGGGGGAAGACAAGAAACTCGGTTTTGGAGAGGTTCAATTTAAGGAAGTGGAGCGACATCCAGTCTGATATGTCGCTCAGTAGGTGTGTGATTCGGGCTGAGACCAAGGGGGTGAGGTGGGGGGTTGAGAGATAGATTTGTGTGTCGTCGGCATAGAGGTGGTAGTTGAAGCCGTGAGAGTGTATGAGTTGGCCAAGGGAGGAGGTATAGATGGAGAAGAGAAGGGGCCCGAGGACAGAGCCTTGAGGGACCCCAACAGAGAGGGGGAGTGAGAGGGAGGTGGTAGCATTATAGGTAACGCTGAAGGAGTGTTGTGACAGGTAGGATGAGAGCCAGGAGAGAGCAGAATCTCTGAGGCCGAGGGAGTGTAGATTTTTTGAGGAGGAGGGGGTGGTCGACTGTGTCGAAGGCCGCAGAGAGGTCAAGGAGTAGGAGCACTGAATAGTGGCCATTAGCTTTGGCGGTTAGCAGGTCGTTGGAGAGTTTGAGTAAGGCAGTTTCGGTGGAGTGTAGGGGACGGAAGCCGGACTGTAGGGGATCGAGGAGGTTGTTGTTGTTGAGGTGAGAGCATAGGCGGGTGTAGACTAGGCGCTCGAGGAGTTTAGATGTAAATGGGAGCAGGGAGATGGGTCTGAGGTTGTTCGGGTCATTGGGGTCCAGGGAGGGCTTTTTAAGTATGGGGGTGATGTGTGCATGTTTCAGAGGGGAGGGGAAAGTGCCTGAGGAGAGGGAGAGATTGAAGATGTGGGTGAGGGAGCGTAGGATGGAGGAGGAGGAAGGTCGTAGGAGTTGTGAGGGGATAGGGTCGAGGGGGCAGGTGGTGAGGCGGGCATCAGAGAGGATCTTGGAGACTTCCTCGATGGTAGTAAGGTCAAAGGTGCGGAGTGTGGGGGGAGCTTCAGTATGAGGAATGTAGGGTGGGGTGGAAGAGGAGGTCAGAGCAGTGGTGGGGCCGTGGGAGAGGGGTGATGAGGGGGTAGCTGAGTGAGGGTGAAGGGGGTTGGAGAGAGTTTGAGCAGTGACGAAGTCCCTGCGGGTTATGTCGAGGGGGAGGGGGGATAAGGGGTAGCTGTGTGAGAGGGGACGGGTTGAGAGGGTGTGTGAGTTGCGGCAATGTCCTTGCGAATTGTGTCAATTTTGTTTTTGAAGTGATTGGCAATCTCAAGGGCGGTGAGTGAGGTGCTGGGTGGAGGTGGGGGTGGAGAGAGTAGAGAGTTGAAGGCAGAGAAGAGTCGGCGAGGATTGGAGGAGAGGGCCTTGATGAGGGTCAAGAAGTAGGCCTGTTTGGCAGCATGGAGGGAGGAGGTGTAGGTGCTTAAAACTTAAAACTACTCTGGACTTCTCTCTTTCTCAATATGTCTCAATGCATATTAGAGGAAAATAAATGTTGTCGGATGTCTATATGTCTAGCTATCCCTTGATGAAAAGACAAAATATGGGTGTAACATGTAACATATTAGGAAAGGTGAACTTATCCTTTAACTAGAACTGCAGTATTAGGGAAGGCACAATTTATCTTGAGCCTAGACTTACCAAGTAGTTATTGGCAAACCCCAGTGGCACTGAAAAAATTGCCTTTATCATCCCCATGGGATTGTTTCAATTCAAACAAATGCCATTTGGACATACAATGTACCTGCCACCAATCAGCGTGCTATAGAATATTGCCTGGCTGACCTAATTTTGGGACATTTACTTTTCTATTTGGATGACTTAAAGCAGTATCAAAGCCAAAACCAAAAATGTAATATATTGTAGCTTACCAATCATTAGATGTGGTGGCTGCATTAGTTTTAATTTTTAAGTCTTGTTCCCCTCTGTTTTCTCCTGGTGTTCTGGCCAGTAACACATCTCCTGTATTAGAGTGCACACACTCTGGATGAAGGAGCATAGTTGGAATATTTGGACAGCAGCATTGTCAGTCTAAGGGGGAGGGGAGAGTTAGATTTTTTTACAGATTTAAATACATTAACAAATTGAAACCAAACTCCAGCTAATAATTTATAAGCAGTAATAGCAAACAGCGGGGTTTATTTACGAAAACTGGAGAGTGTAAAATCTGGTGCAACGCTGCCTAAAAACCAATCAGCTTTCAGGTTTTATTGTCAAAGCTTAATTAAACAAGCTGAAGTTAGAAGCTGATTGGCTACCATGCACAGCTGATTCTGAGTGCACCAGTTTTAGTAAATCTCCCCAGGTGTTTTTCCTTTTGGGATAAAGGTTTTACATACTGTAAATAAATAAAAGCTAATCATTGTAAGCAGACCTTCCAGTGATAGTTTGTCTCATCTCTGTAACTTCTGCTGGAGAGCTTGTTTTTTAAAAAAAAAAAAAAAAAACAACAGATTTACTGGCTGGATCACCAGGTTAAAATAGAAGAAAATGCGCCTAAGAGCTGGTTCACACCAGATTCAGCCCAGTGGGGTTTATATACTGAAGCTGGAGAGCTAAATTAGATGCACTTCTGCATAGAAACCAATCAGCTTCCAGGTTTTATTGCCAAAGCTTAATTGACAAGCTGATGTTAGATGCTGATTGGCTACCATTCACAGGTGCACCAGATTCTGGGTGAACCTGTTTTAGTAATTCTGCCCCAGTGTGTTTTTATTATGCATCAAAAATGCTTGGACAGTGTGTCCAACCAGTGCAGTGCATTCCAGTGCAGTCAGCAAATATAGAACACGTTGCATTTTTTTTCTGTATGGAATGTAGCAAAATGTATCAAGAACACACCAGAATGCACACGTATTCAATTGAGATGAAGAAAAAGAGGGGGAAAAAATACACCAGAACACAACAAAAAAACATCAATCATGCATTTAAAAACTCACATGCAGAAACACATTCGGAACACAAAAATCGTGGTGTGAACCGGCCCTAAAAAAGAAAAGTAATGCAGCCATCACATCTAAGAAATGTTAAGCTGCAATATAATAAATATTTGCTTTTAAGTTTAATACTGCTTAAATAATCTTCTCTTCTTCAAACGTTCAGCATTTGGAGCCTTCGTGAGATTAGCAAATCATTGATTAAAGCTGAAGCACAAAATTATAATCTTGAAACTTTTACTGAATATTTGCGACCTGAGATCTCCTGAGAAGAGTTGAGGCCAAACAAGAATGAAATAGAAGCAATTGACAAATGGAAAGAACCTTGAAATTTGTGAGAGTTGTGAGCCTTTCTTGGCTTGATGGGCTACTAAGAAAGATTCATATGAGTTTTTGCAAGGATAGTTTCCCCTATGCAAGACCTGTTGAGAAAACAATAAAAAAAATAGGTGGGAGGACTTTGAGAACATATGAAAAACTGTTTATTTCACCTGTACAGGCTTATGTTGACGTTGCTCAGCATTTCCATCTTTACACCTACGGTGGGAGCCAGTGTCGGGAGCGGAGCTTTTTTTTTTTCTGGATCGGCAACAGCATTCATCGTAATTGACTCTGGATCTACTTCGGGGGAAAATGTTTTTTAAAGGACTTGTCAAAATCTGTTGTGTTTTTATTCACGCTTTACACTTTTTTGGTGAATGAGTACCCCTATGTACCCCTACTCATTCACACGGAGGGGGAGCTGCAATCTAGGGGCCCCCTTGTTAAACAGTGATTCCAGATTCCAATTAGTCACCCCCGCAGACCCCCATAACCACAGCCCAGGGTTGTGGGCAAGAGACCTTTGTCCCCATCAACATGGGGACAAGGTGCTTTGGGGGCATGTAGCCTGGTATGGTTTAGGAGGGGGGGGGGCACTTGCTCATCCCTCCCATTTCCTGACCTGCTGGGTTGCATGCTCAGATAAGGGTCTGGTATTGATTTTGGGGGGACCCACACACCTTTTTTTTTTTAAAAATGCAGCCATGGGGTTCCCCTTAAAACCCATAGCAGATCCGAAGGGCCTGGTATGGATGGATGGGGGGACATACATGTATTAAAAAAAAAAAATGAATTGCCGTCATTCTTTTATTTACATTCAGCTGTCAGCAGGATGAGTCATCAGTTGTTAAGGACGCGGCCCTCTTCTTAGCATCCAGCTATTCTTTACACAGAATTTGGAGTGGTCAGTCAATTGTTGACCGCTTCGAATTCCATTCTGAAAATTAGGATTTTGTTAGAAATGCAATAAATGAAATGAAATTTAACAAAAAAATTTATATTTTCCAATTGGTCAAAAAAAAAATTCATATATCAAGTTGTACCGAAGTCGCCTGGCAAAGTCACACTGTAAGTCGCGCAAGTTTCAGGTCACAGAAGTGTGAACCGAGTTTGAATTCTTGAATTTGTGATACAACTTTACAGTATTTATACACTTTCTGCATTAAGCCTCTACACATGATGAGAATATTGGTTGAATGATTGTCTCTTATATTTTTTATTTTATTTTTTGCACACTAATCTCATATCAGAAATTAAGTTACAAAAAATTCTCGTAAAACATGACACAACTTCCTAAGTGATGTAATGTATTGTCTTGGTCACTGGATTTTTTTATAGATGAATACTGTACTGATTAAACGAAAATTGTTTGTTCTGTTATACAAGAAACATTTTTGTGCTTGTCCCCTTGGATAATTTCACATGAACTGTCGTGATCGCCTATCGAAATCTGTTTACTGACGATCAGATTATTATTATTATACAGAATTTCTATAGCGCCAACAGTTTGCTCAGCGCTTTACAATATAAAGGGAGACAATACAGCAACAATACAGTTCAATACAAGAGGGATAGGAGGGCCCTGCTCTTTGGAGCTTACAATCTAGGAGATCAGATGATCATTTTGAAAGCAGTATTTTCAGATTTTTTTAATCATATGTACGAGACATTATTTACCAGATTATGTCTTAAATTATTCCTGAGTTAAGTTTCAACTTTAAAAATATATATCATTTCTGCATCTCTACCTGTAAAGGAAATAGCAATTAATAATAAATCTGTGTGTAACCAAAGCCTCTGGGGAGAGTAAAAAATCCTCCTTTGCAGTGGGGCTGCCTCCACACTAAGAGGAAATGTTTGTTTTTGTGTTAAAAGTGGTTTTACCTACCACATCCTGTTTTCTTCGTGGCTAGCACTCTCCTTTGCTCCCCTATAGTCCAATGGATTGTCATTCTGCATCATCATGTTCATTGCAGGGATACAGACTCTGCATTGAACTTTATGATGTCAGAGGACATGCAACTGCCAGAGCATAGGTGAGAAAAGTCTGTGGGGACCGGTCTTAACGATTAGGTAAGGAAAAATGCTTTTTGCACCTCTCCTAGACCTAAATGAGCATTTAGGCCTTGCAGTGGGTTTTCCTTACCCCGGAATACAGCTTTAAAGTTACAGAGCGTTATATTCTCTGTTCTAAATAAACATTCTTCTGGCAGTAGAAAAGAGATCAATTTATTATTAATGTTTTATATATACTGTGTATTTTATATACAGTATCTGGCATTTGAGTAAAATACTGAAAACTGGTGAAATCCTCTAGAATGCTCCATGTGACTGGTGCCAAATATGCTATAAAACATTCTGTTTCTTTCTAATTATCAGATTAAATCTGATAATCTGAAAAAGTTGTGCTAATTTTCTCCTGTTATGGGATATTTGTTTTTTTATGCATTATTTACATTTTGACAGTTATTCCGTGGGATTAAATGTGTTTTTTTCATTTTGAATACTCTGTGGGTAGCCTCAGATGTCAATTCGGTTTTGTTAACATTAAATCAACAATTTCTGAGCTCCTTACAGGCTGGAGTAATGGGCTTTGGCCGTTGCAGTGTGCAGTACAACCACTCACTGAGAAAGCGAGCAAGCTTGACTAATTCCCAGCGGTGATAACTTCATAACTTTATCTTCTGCTTTCAAGTTTAAAGGTAATGGCTTCATGCTGTTACCTTTGGTTGTGTGATACTATGGAGAGGGATCAAATATTACTTATGTATGCATAAATAAACAGATCCGATTAAAAGTGTTCTTTCAGCAAGACTTTCATCAGAAGAAGACCATCTTTTTAAGATGTGAAAAACTTGGAATATATTACGTAGAAAAAAGAATACAGAATAGCTCTTTTGTACATTTTAGTTAACGTATTTACCCAGCATTTATATTTTGAAACAAATTATTAGGTATCCTGGCCGGCTTCAGGTAACACTTAAAATATCAAACTAATATTCAATTTAATAGTAAAATATATTTATGGCATAATGGCTGTACCAATAGATGTCTCTTGATATAGGGAAGGATCACCCAAGAGAATTAATCAATTGACTATCTCATCGTTTCAAATGAAAGTTCTGAAAAGTTTTTATAAATTACTAAATATGAATGTGCACTGAGTTCCGTCACTTAAAATTCAATTTTTACTTGTGACTTTGTCTGACAAGAATGTCAGTTTTATGTCAGAAATGAATAGAAAATTAATTTAAAGCCCAACTCCAGTACACAGAAAAATCAAGCCCCTGAGGGACCCCCTCACTGCAAGGGAATAATTGGCTTGCTATGTAGGATTGTAGGATAGCCACTTTCACTTACCTAATTCTCCTATCAGGTGGGCTCCACCCGAAGCTCCAGTCTGTGGGTGGAGCCTCAGCATTATCACATACCATACTGGGACATTAACCCTGTATGATACGCTGGGGAGTCTGGAGTGCAATCAGTGACTGTCGCAGCTTACAGAGCAACTAGGAGGGACTATCCACAGCACTGGAGGGAGCCTGCTGGAGTGAGGAGTAAGGTAAATGCTTGCTCCTTAAAACTCTTTTCCTAAAGTAAGCAAGCCTTTTACCTTTGCATTTTGTGTGTGGGGGCACTTTAATTTTCTGGAGTTGGACTTTAAAAAAAGTTGTGTTATCTGTTTGAGACCCAAATAGCCGGCCTCTGCGTAAATCACTTCTGTCCATAGTCTGTGGTGTCTTTCTACTCACTAACCCTTTTCTCCACATATATCTTATACCATAGCTAAGCTATGAAACAAGTCACCAACACTTCAAGGAATGTGAATCCAATCATGCTAGTAAAAATATACCAAAATACCGATGTTTTAGAACTTCATGGGTTTTCTTCTTCAAGGAAAGTAATGACAATACACCAAGAGGAAATAAATATATGTGTAGAAATTCATTAATATTCAATCAGATACAATCCCACATACAACACAGTGCTGTGCAGAAAATATA